GATTCAGTTGGAGCCTACTGTGGAAGCTGCTTGGTGCATTAGGTTCTGCTTCATCCAATAATACGTTTCGGTATATAAAAACTTGCCCATGGTAAATTCTTTCCCAGTGTTTCTACTGTTCTACACCCTGATTTAGCAAGAGTATTAAAGGGCTTTAGAAAGCATTTGGGTGTAACCTAGGAAGTAACTGATGAAATATAGATATAGTCTGTGAATGGATGACCAGCGCACCTTCTTATCTCCACTGAGGAGCAGATGCACAGATATGGCACTGCTAGTTCTTAATTTTGTATTTTGCCATTAGAAGGGAGCATTTTTTCTCTGGAAGGAGGAAGGAAGAGGGTACATAAGAAAAGCAATTTTAAGAAGACCTTTTTGTTTAATGTTGGTAGATCCCTGGTACCTGGAAATAACAGAGATCAAACATAAACTTAAGGGAGACTGTTTTTCTTGCAATGCATTTCTGCTAACTTTCTTCCCTGCTTGTGTTTGCTTTCCTTGCTTTGGTCAGGTGTCAAGACAATCATTCTGCAATGTTGCTCTTTCTACTGCTCCTCTCAACACCACAGCGGGTTTTACAACAAAGTATGAAAAGTGCTAGTTGGATCTCTTTTAGTAAGATGTTGTTTGGGAGAGAAACTAAATTCATTATCTCTGATATCCATATGGGCCGAGTAGGTCTTCCCAGAAATGATAAGGCCAGATACAGCTTTTCAAAATGCTGTTTGAAATATGTGACGTTTTTAATCTAAAAGGATAAAGGACATTTAAAGACAACTGTATCTTGTTCTTTCAGCTAATCTAAAAGCCACAGTCAAGAAAAAGGTGTTGGAGGGAAGTCCTGACTCTCTTTAGAAGGTGATCAGATAAGGAAGCCCTAGCACCCTTTTGATTTTTCTTTCCATCTCAAGGTTTGCCATTAGAACCTCACCAACATATTACTTGTCTGCTAAATCCCTGTCTGAGCATGTTCAGTCTTGTTTGATCTAGATTAATTGGAATTCAACACCCATCATCCCTTTTCACTATGGCAAATAATTTTCAATTCATCATTCTTTATTATTTTAACAAGCATTTAATAGGAGCAAGGATTATTAAATTGTATTAAATTTCAGGCTCGCATCTTGTGTTGGGTGGGGAGAACCAGAATGTTTCCAGTATAGTGTTTGAACGAGAGTATGAGAATTTGTGAGGCCAAGCAACAATAAACCTGCTTCATTGCAAATATCAAATCAGGTTATAGTTTATTCAGTGATGAAAAGCAAGGCAATGGCTTTTGAATCTCATTTTGCATTGCTGTAGGTTTGTGTTTCGTGGACTGTTTATCGGTGAATTTATCCAATAAGAAAGTTGGGCACTTCAAGCTTTTATAGATGTTGCACTGACTCAAAGTAATACAAGCCAGGATAATATCAAAATGGCAACGTGTCATGCTTCATTGTGTAGATGACCCAATTATATAATTTGCATCAGTCACGTTATAATGTCTGATGCAAATACATAAATTGTGTCAGTTGTAAAATGATGTCATGACTCACATGTCATTTGCCACCTTTTGCCTCCCTCTGTGGACATCCCTGTGGTACAATATAATGTGCTTAGCTCAATCTGCTGTTTTCTGATATGTAGGACTACAGGTTCCATCAGCTAGCAAATTCAGTATAGCATGCCGTGAGGTGACTAGAGTGTAAGTGACGGAAGGGCCTCCTGATTCAGGAATAGGTGCAACTGGCAAACAAGATGGAGCTGGCAAAGGCCTTCTTGGCCATAGCTGCCACCTGCTCTGATTTTTGTCTTGATCTCTTTTCATTACAAATACTGGTCAAGATATGTTTTACATTATTTTGTACAATATTTATAAAATAATTATTTTAAATATGGAAGTAGAGAAAATATGATGCTAAACCATCCCCAACCTGCCTACTTGTGCAGGCTAGGAATTATGGGATTTGTAGTCACATGTTAAGGACTTCAGATTGTACAAATTTGCACTGAGCTACAATTTCTCATAAGAATGAGCCTGTTAGGTTTTAAGGCACCTTAACCCCCCCCCCCCCACACACACACACA